CTGTTGACTTGTTAGACTGATGCAGTTTGCAATATGGCGCGATTGCTGCAGCTTTTAGTGGTAGGCCTAATGCGAACTTGTGCGTCATGCTACGAAAATGGGGACAATGTTGAAGATTGCTTTTTTATGCGCCATATAGAGCAAAACCATTCAATGGACTTATCTAAAATGAATATCAGATATATTACTTTTGGCTTCCAAATATTATGTTCAAATATGAAACGCAAAACTTCAGTATAGAGGAAGATATTTACAAAATAAGTTGTACAGTTTTATTTTGGGATCACCCTGTATTCTAGACTTTACTTTAGCCTGTAGCAGTCAAGCAGTGCCGTGGAAAACAATAAAAGTTAGCTTGATTGATAAAAACACAGAAGCACAAATTCAGAATTGAGTAGAATCCATAATTTCTGTACCATCACAGTCTGATCTCAGTCATGGTTAGTGTTCAGTGTCATGCCGGGAGAGCCAAGCACCCAGCCTTCAAAATTAGGAATAGGACTGCCATAACGAGCGACCACCCTAACAAACACAATAAAGACTAAAGAAGAGACCTGCTAACCGACAACACGCCCTATTTACCACAGATTGACACAGTTAACCACCCACAAGCCTTACGCGGCCGGTAAGGGGCTGAGTGACTCTAATTTTGGGGAGTAATTCCATACGAGCGACCACTATGAAATAGAGTAGCCTAGAATAGAGGGTTAGGGTCGGTTAAGGGTAGGATTAGGCCTAAGGTGTTAGGGTTAGTGTTTGGGGTAGGGGTAGAGTAATTTTTACTTTTAGACCCGCACGCAGATGCAGTTTTGAGGGCTAAACTGCCATAATTTTTGCTGCACAGCACACTTCCCAATCATCAACTATGAGATCTAAAATAAAATGAAAATTATTCATCAATTGTTTGTTGAACAGAACCCAGACTCAGCTTAAGATTTGAAAACAGGATCACGTCTCAGTTCATTGTCTATGTCAACAGTGCAATCTCTTATGCAGTGACCAAATTCAATAGTATCTCAAGTTTTGCCAAGATGAACATTTTTCCGCTAAACTCAGTGAGCACATGATGTAACTTTATGTCCAAGTAGAAAACCATGATAGAAAGTATCTCCACACCTGAACTCATTTAACACCTTAATCAAGTCCTTTCATGTGAAAACGTTGATAAGTCCAACTGCCAATTGTCTCAGCTTTCTATCAAAACTGTGTCCAATAGCACCTGAGACGTAATCATCACGCTATTCACCTTAAATGCAGCGTAAAAAAAAACATCAGTTCCATTCTCCCCGAGGGAAGATATTTCACCAAGCATCTTTACCTTTTAGTGCCAGATATCACAGTCAAGATCAACGATGACAAGATGGGTCAAAGCAACCCACCTTCTAAACTATCTCGGAATAGTACTCAAAAGGGATGTAGAACATTGACAGTCAGAAGGTAGGCCTACTGTGAAAAGGAAGCAAAAATTATATTATGTGTGCACAGAATTCTACACTTAGTAGTAGAATTCTGTGTATGTGTGTAACTGTACCGTAACTCAATAGTGACAATAGTCAGGGAGAGGAAAATGAGCACAGAGAAAAAGAGGGGAGGGAGGAGGGGGAAAAGAATAAGCAGAGACGTGTGCAGAAAATAACTCTACGATTGTCACGTTAGGATACGAGACTATGCACTTTCACTTTCCACAGACATGATCTGTAAAATTGCGTTATTTCCCTTCTCTTGAGCACACGCATGTTGCGTCATCATTCACCGAGTTCATTGGATGCACTTCCGTGCAACACTATGCAGCCTGTTAGAACTGTTCTTCTCTGCGAATAAATCTCAATTCTAAACATTCTGACCTTTGTGATCCTATAAACAACACAACGATAATCCATGATACTTTTAGTGTAGTTTCAATGAGAGACAAACTCACAAGACAAAAGAATATTTTTTTTTTTAAAACTTGTTTGACCAAATACTTTATTAATACGCTCTGAAGATAGACACATGCTGATATGTGACAAGTCATACAAAAGTCATATAAAAATCAATATATTTAAAAAAAAGAACAGGTAGTGACATAAAAAGACAGTTCAAAAACACAAAAAAAGAAAAAAATCATATTAAAAACTGATACATACATATTATATTGATATATTAAAATAAAACAAGAACAAGTAGTAACATGAAGAGAGAATTCATTAACAATCTCCCTCTGAATAGAAAGAATTTTCATATGCTACATGTCCACAGCTTAAAACAACAGCCACCGTAAGTACGAGAGATACATTTTAATTAGCTGCCCCTAGAGTAACTAACCAAAACACCATGAATTAGCAGCGATTTTAAGCTCATAATATAGCAGTAACTTCACACACAAGCAAAAAGAACTACAGTCAAACCTACTCTCTAACAGCTACCACCTGTCCAAGACAAACATCTGTACAAACGACCACTCCCCACTTGTATTTTTTCCTATATCATTGTACAAACAACCACTCTCCACTTGTATTTTTTCCTATATCATTGTACAAACGACCACTTCCCACTTCTCCACTTGCATAGAAAAAAAAAAATATCACAACAACATTGTCCAAAAGGACCACTTCCTGTCAAAGATGACCACTTTTCTCCTCCATAAAGGGTAGTCGTTTCGATCAGGTTAGAATATTTTTACTGTGAACAAAATATCAATACTAAAACTAAAAGAGGATTTGGGGGGGGGGGTTCCAAATATT